AGTGGCAAAAGAGCTAGAAACCATGATTGCTGAGGACGTCATTGAACCTATCGAGAATAGTGAATGGGCTAGTGCTTTGGTTCCAGTTCTGAAAGATAACGGCACGTTGCGACTTTGTGGTGACTATAAGATCACAATTAATAAATACTTAGAAGATAATAAATATCCGTTGCCACGAATCGAAGAGATTTTGGCAAAATTAAATAAAGGGCAGTTTTTTTCAAAAATAGACATAAGATCTGCTTACAACCAGATTGTGGTTGATGAGAGGAGTTCAAAAATTTTGTCTATAAACACCCCAAAGGGATTGTTTGCTTTCAAACGCTTGCCCTTTGGCATTAAAACAGCAACTAGCATTTTTCAGCGAATAATGGACCAGCTTCTTCAGGGTGTCAATGGAACAATACCTTTTCTCGACGACATCATCGTGTCTGGGAAAACTGCTGAAGAGCATCTGAGAAACTTGGAGGAAGTTTTTCAAAAACTCCAAGATGCTGGTTTCACATTAAAAAGAGAAAAGTGTTTTTTCTTCCAGAAGGAAGTGGAGTACTTGGGGTTCCGTGTGAGCAAGGAGGGAATAAAGAAATGTGAGTCAAAAATTAGAAGTGTTCTGAAGGCTAAACAGCCAGAAAATTTGACAGAAGTTCGAAGTTTTGTAGGAATGGTGTCATATTATTCTAAATTTGTATCAAGAATATTATCAACAATATTAAGCCCCATATACAATTTGCTAAAAAAAGACCATCAATTCAAATGGACCGATAGCTGTGAAACTGCATTCAGGGAAAACAAGGAAATTATAGCTTCCGAAGAGGTTTTGGTTCACTTTGATCCAAAATTGCCCATCATCCTAAGCACTGATGCATCAAACGTGGGCATTTCAGCAGTGCTCTCGCACCTAATTGATGGCAGGGAAAGAATGATCACCTGCGTCTCCCGGACTCTTTCGGACCCAGAGAAGCTTTACTGCACTACCCAAAAAGAGGCCTTGGCCATATACTGGGGTGTCAGCAAGTTGTATCAATACCTTTCGGGGCACCACTTTATTTTGAAAACTGATCACCGACCCTTAATAGCACTTTTTGGCGAACACAGGGGAATCCCACAGATGTCGGCGAACAGGCTGCAAAGATGGGCAGCATTTTTGTCCATGTTTGACTACGAGATCCAGTATATAAAAGGGGATCAAAATTTTGTTGCAGATTACTTTAGCAGAGCACCACCACCAGACGCAGAGAGAGGAAAAGAATCAGAGATGTTGTTCGTGAACTTCACAGAGTGCCAGGCGGATTGGCCAATAAACAACAAAGAAATCAAGCAACAAACTCTACTTGATGCTGACCTGGAGAGTGTGAAAGCCTGCATCGAAAATGGTTGGAGTGGCAAAATCAGTGAAAGTGTGAGGCCATACTACAACAGACGGGACGAAATTTCGCTGGAAAACGGAATACTCCTACTTTCTCACCGAATAATTGTGCCGGAAACCCTGAGAAAAAAGATTCTTTCTGAAATTCACACATCTCACTGGGGAATGTCGAGGATGAAGGCCCTGGCAAGATCATATGTATACTGGCCCGGCATCGATTCAGACATAGAAAATTTGGCAAAGTCATGTCAAATATGCATCCTAAACAAGGACAATCCGCCCAAATCAGGCTTGACTCCATGGCCATTGGCCTCAAAACCGTTCGAACGAATTAACATAGACTTTCTGTCATTGAAGGGCAAGGACTTTCTAATCCTTATAGATGCTTACAGCAAATGGGTAGAGGTCTTCCTCATGAAAAACACTTCAGCTTTTGAGACTGAGTCAAAGCTGCGCAAGACTTTCGCCAGATTTGGATTGCCGGAAACAGTAGTAAGCGATAACGGCAGCATGTTTGTGTCTGCCAGCTTAAAGAAATTTTTTGCCAAAAACGGAATTAAACATCTTACCTCTCCAACGTATAATCCTAGGAGTAACGGAGCAGCAGAGAATGCAGTGAGAACCTTTAAGAGCAAGGTTAAGACAGCGTTGCAAGACTCGAGAAATTAACAACTACCTCTGGAAACCCTCATTTCCAGATTCCTGATGTCCTATAGGACAACACCACATTCCTCAACAAACAAAACACCACATTACTTGATGTATGGCAGAGAAGCCAGGACAAGGCTATCCCAAATTGAAGAATTACCATACAAAGACCGAGAAAACTCAGAAAAAGTAGGATTACATCAAGCGAAGATCGCACAGCATCGCCAAATAAAGTATCACGGTGGAAATACTAGACATTTTGAAAATGGTGAAAAAGTTTTTATCGCAGATTACACAGGTAGTCGGGGAAGAAAGTGGTCTCAAGCAAGGATATCCAAGAAAATTGGAAAAAACACCTACATGTGCAGGTTGTCGACAGGACAACTGTGGCTTCGTCATAGCAACCAAATTCATAAATACTTGCCTTCAGGAAAGCCAGTGGAGCTGGACACCAAAAACTCAAACTCTATTGCAGATTTTCAGAATCCTAATGAAGCCCCAGTCTCTGTCTCAAAAAAAGATATGAACAAAAAAGTCAGCTTTAATAACTCTCCCTATTTTATCAATATCCCAACATCTCTGCCTCAAGTTGAAGAGTCCAGTGTGGGCGACGTACAGAGTCAGGACGATCATGAGCTCAGCAACACCAGCTTTCATAGTACCGCCTCTGACTCTGACGAAAATTTTCTAAATGCAGTGGTGTCAAACTCTCAGCAGTCATCTGTTTTAATAGCTAAAACTTTTGAGGCAGTAAGTGATGATGTTCCAAGCACCTCTGGTCATAGTAGGGTCTTGATTGACGAAACTGGACAATCCAGTAGTAAAATGCCAGATTTAAGGCCAAAAAGGCAGCTGAGAACACCATCATACCTGTCTGAATATACTCAATAAAGACTGAATGGACTTAGAATGCAATAAGCATTACTGTTAGGTTTGTAAGTAATTTGACAAGCACATATTGTGTACTTCATGTTTATTTTATCTTATGTATGTATAATTTTATATTTTATGTGTAGCAGTGTTCAATCTTGTTGGTTAGGGCACAATTCCTTCTTTTCTGTATTCCATTTATTTTCATTTATTTTTCTTTCTCTGTTCAAGTAGAATGTGGAAAGTATCTCAGGGTGAGGGCAGGCTCGAGACTCCAGAATGCTCAGAGGTACATTACAAAATGTAAACGTCACTAACCTAACAAGCATCCAGAGCTAGGGGGTTTGTTGTCACCTAGGTACAAATACCAGAATTACTATGTATGTAGTTTAAGTCATGCATAAATGCCTGCATTACATAATGTGGGTTTAAACGCCACTTCACTCCTGAAGAAGCACATTTTAAAACCACACTGTAAGCTTTTAAAGAAGCCTTCGCTCACAAGGGTTGTGCAAGAATTTAGGAGTGGGGGAGTGTGGCAACGCGGCAACATTGTCTTGTCAAGGGTCGCATATAAATAGCGGACGTACAGACGTCTCTCTCTCTTTGGTAGCATTGAAATAACCTGATAAACAAGTATTGTGTAATCTATGTGCTCTGTCCCTAACCGACGCGAAATAAAGCAGTATTATACGAAAGTGTTCGGACTCTCATTTAGCCTTAACCCCCAAGATATTACACACAGATTTGCGGCTCCGTCCAAAAATGTTTCTAGATAAGCAATCTTGAGTTGGTCATCCCATCCATTGGCTATTGCTGACCTCTTGTACGTCCTTATGAACTCAGTTGAGCTGGTTTTACAAAGGTAGAAGGTTTGAGGACTGATAAATTGTGGTATCATCGCCTTTTTCGCCGCTGCCATGGTTTGAGTTATGGTGGTGTTGGCCATGGTATTGGTTTGTTTCTCTCTGTCTTCTGATGGCTGATGGGGTTCTTGACGGCTTAGGTCTGGTGGTTTACCAAAAATGTCGTCTTCTTCGTGGTCCGTTTGATTATTTCCTTGGTTTTCTATCTCACTGTTAATCTGCTCTAAACTGATACTAGGCGACTCTGGTGGTGATCTTTGCAACGATCTTCTCGGTAGAAAGAGCGCGTTTTCTGATTCTGTGCTCCTATGGGATGGGGTGGTCTGAATAATTCTACTGGTGTCGTTGCTGCTGCGTTATTTGGCTTCAAATTGTATTTGGGTTTGTCTGGCATCTATTCTTGCTACGATGGCGACGGTAAAACGGCACAATTTATTCTTCTATTGGCAATAGTTTTTAAATCTACTTGTCTTTTCTTCACCTACGCCACGGTGTCGGGAAGTCGTAACGTGGTTGGGCGTTGGCTTGCTTCAAAGACGCTTTACGGCGTCGGTTCTTGGGCGTCGGGTTCGAGACGGCCCTCCACCAAATATGTCACAACTGCCCGCTTTACCGGGGTGACATGGAGGGTTTGTAGCTTTAGGGGTTGATGGAGAGAAACTCGTTCAAGTTGTATAAAAGTGTAGATATATAATTTCCCAAATATGCCCTTACATATATGCTAATCCTATAAGATGCATGACCTTTCCAACACTGGGGTCCTTATAAGGAGCCACACGTCAACGCTGCTTGGAGGACTGTCGGTTAGTTATCGTCACCCTTATGCCTTGTCCAGAGGAGCTTTCCCAACGAGATATACCGGCGCTGGACAACGATAAGGCTGAAGATACCCAGAGGGGCTTTCCCAACGAGAGGTACTTGCACTGGGGGAGACTTAATTCCAGAGGGGATTGAAATTATGTACAGTGTGTTATTTTCCCAAGCAGGCTCGGTATTGACAATATAAAAAAATTACCTTGTACCCCATTTAAAAATCATGAAACTGCTTTCCTCTTTTCCCTCTCATGGGAGTTTGCTACAAATTTATTCAAAAGTAAGATTTTTTTGCTGTGTTTAATTCGTCTGATGGTCTCTTTCGATTTGAATCCGATGGAAAAAAAAGAATGAGAGAAACGGAGTTTCACTGGATGAGATCAAGTCGATCGGATCAGAATTTTACGAGATAAACGTACTCACAAATACAAAAAAAATGCATATTAGGTTTTTTTTTTAATCACAATACAATAATAATTGCCAAAATCAAAAGTACATTGGGATTAAATTGTATATAGACTCCGGTATTTGTCGAACGCTCAATACCTATCGGTAATTTAGGAGTTGTACCAGCTTCCTCGCCTTCCATGAAATCCACAACAAAGTTAAAAATGGTTTCAATTGGAACAAAATCAACTGCTTTTCGACCTCCCTGCCTTCCAAACCCGTGACACTCATTTCCGTCAACCAGTATACCCACTTGAACTTCCCCGCACATGATCGGCCCAGTCTGTGGCGCGGCACAATTGGAAAAATCCTTCGCATTTCCTTGAGAATCGACGAAACATTGTAATTCCAGTGGTGTTCCTTTGCGATCTGTAAATAAAACATTCTGCTTTGATGATTTTCCAAAACCGTAAGTAGCGAAGCTTCCGCATTTCGGGATTCCTCCTGGCTTGTTCTGTGACCGTGGCCAATTCAGTGGAAATCGTATAGAACGGCGAAGGTTTTTGGGCACAGGCAATGTCACCAATTTTATGTATGGCATGATAGAAAAAACGCTTTTTTGTAGCCTAAACACAATTATATTTTTCCCTTTGTGATTATGTGCTCGACGTCCAAGAATTCCTTGGAAAAAACTCTTGATATCATTGATGTCGTAATCAATCAAGTTAATAGTATCAATGGAAATGTTTTTAGTAATAATATTTTCATTTATTTGAACATTGCTAATATTGTTAAAGGTTTCATTGAGATGATAATTGGTGATATTAGTATTGTAAGTGGTGATAGTGATGTAAGTTTCGTTAACTTGGGTATAAGATGAGGTAACGTGTGACTCTTCATGTACATGATGATATTCTTGTGGAGGAACGTATGGTGGAATTACAATCGTTTTCCGTCGTGGCCTATATGGCATCATAGGATCAAAAAGTCTAGATGCAGCCTGGGCAGTCGCTCCTAAGTCTCCTAAACCAATACGGTCCGAAATTAATGTGGCTGTTGCAACGGGTGTCGGTTTTTGTTCACTTCCTGCAGGAATTGCCGCCACCACTACTACATAGTTATTACAATGTTTTGCTGGATTTGGATTTTTTGATTGGCCATAATCTTCCGAGCCAACCAGAGACACTAAAATAATTAATAAAAAATATGCCCAAAAACCGAAGCGCATTTTAAAATTAGATACTTTTTAGCTGGAACAATATGACTGTCGCGTTCACGTTAAATAATGACAAAACTACTGACGTTCTGTGCTAACTGTCACAAATAGAAATTGCGATTATTTATTATCGTGCATGGTAACCTAAATAGCAATGAAAGACAAAATGTATAGTCTGGCAAGTGGTAACTTGATGGAGACGTGACGGGGAATAAATGTGGGGCGTAGCCTAAAGCTGCGTATCGATTACGCGAGGCAGCCGCACATGCGCGGCAAAAACACGAGGTGTTCGGGTGCGCCAATCCAATATTCGAATTGGCTATCGCGGCAAGCCAGTAGCCAGCAATGACGTTTTAACTCAGCTCATGGAGTGGTTTTTATTTTGCGGTTATTATTTGAATTGTTGACATTACGTTTTTGGCGGGTTTTTACTGTTTTTTAGCAGGCTTGCGTTTAGAAATAGCACTCTGGGTGTGAGATGAGTGACCTTTTAGAGTAACTCTAAACCGTTCATAAATTAACAGGTGCTTACTCGGAGCGTTACACTGGAATCGTTCAGAAATCGAGAGTAAAGCAGGACGCGCACTGAATCGCCTCGGACCGGTCGACTCGGCCTAGAGCATTCGGTAGTTTTTGATACTCATGCAATTAAATGAGACTCCGCGCACGGCATCGGACTCGTCGACTCGACGTGGTCGACTCGAGTCTCATTTAATTGCATGAGTATCAAAAACTTCCGAATGCTCTAGGCCGAGTCGACCGGTCCGAGTCGATTCAGTGCGCGTCCTGCTTAAACCTGCCTAGAGTGCGCCCAAATTAACCCACTCAGGGACTGGGTTGAAAAACGCCGCGCTGTTTTTACCGGGTTTGACGTGATTTCAAAAGCTGCTTTCGCGGGTGCCACTCTTAAAATTGTCCTTTAATGGGAGGGTGACTTGAAATCTGCCCGAATGCGTACGGCAGTGTGTATTAACAAAATGGGATTCACAATTAAGGTTTTCTGTGGAAAATTTATTTGTACTGATGTCGTCCGATACCTCTTCAGTTTTCCAGAACTTCTCATCTCAATGGTTTGATATAAATGATCATTACTAGATGGTTTTATATTAGGAAGAAAAATGGGACCTGAAATAATCCAGCCAAGTTTGGTTTGTTGAAGAATTGGATTGTTTTTTCTAAGTCTTATTTGCCCTGTAATTAATAAGTCAAAAAATAGTTCCGCTCCTATAAGCATATCAATATCAGACTGCTCATGGAAACTTGGATCGGCTAACTGGATATTATCGGGGATGTTAATTGGAGGTATGTTAACAGTGTTGCCAGATGACCAAAACAATGCTGTAGAAATTATCGTTTTTTTGTATGATTTCATCTTACAAAAAAAAGACTTTACTAATATGACGTCATCGGAGGCTGGTGGCCCCCAAGGATACACACTACTACAACAGGATGGCCTATCCTCATCATAAGGCCCCGGCCCCGTCCCCCCACCGCCACTCCAAAATACCAGTCGTGACGTAGGCAGCACGGTATTTCTCGCCTTGACGTAGAGCCGTTTTACCCGGCAAAGTTTCTTTACGAAATTATTGCCGAAATATTTCGTAAGTTTACTATTCTTGTTTCGCTTTTTACCTGTTTGACACGGCAAATAAAATGTAGCAAAGTTTCGTGAAAATATTAGTCATACGCAGGCGCAGTAACGTTTTGCCATCAATAATATGAAATCATAACCTCATACTTTGATAAACCAAAACAAATAAAACTTGCGTTTTCTAATTGTTGTTGAATTTTTGTACTCTTCTGCAGTTTCATAAAGTTGAATTTCTGCTTTCGTTCCATAAATAAAGTTTTGTTTACTTCTGACTTTGCCCAGCTGATCCTCTCCCTCCAACCCTATTTCTTTGGGCGTAACACTTTTTTTCCACCGGTTGACCAGTGGCGCATCTAGCATGAAGCAAACGACGCACTGTGCGTCGGGCCCCCAGAGCTAAGGGGCCCCCACACAACCAGATTCTAAAGGGACCGATAAAAACAAATAAAAAAAAAACTCGTATAGATATAAAAAAAAAAAAACGAAAATTAAATTTTGAAAGAGACGGCAACGTTGTAGACCAGGGTGCCTATTCTTGAAACCGGGGAACAGCGTTCTCACGAGAAAGGACGATTGCTCTGTCTTTGTCAGTGTTATGGAAATAGAAATATGGGCAACTAAGGCAGAACGCTTATCTCCTGTGTCGACAATAAAGGCCCTGTAGGGAATCCAGGGCTGGAATCATGACAAGTAGAATTCCACTTTCATGACGTCATTCGCGAAACATTTATCGCGTACAGTAGAGGCGATGATGACAATTGTTAGGCAACCTGACGTCATAAAAGAGAAATTCTAGTAGAATGTTGTGATCCCAGCCCTGATGCACTCGACGCGATAATGCGGCAACCGCGGACGCGTCGACTTTAGGCGGCTTTTTTTAGCTATTAGGCAATTTTTCGCGAGGATGATCAAGCATAATCTGATTATGCTGGGTTATGTGATGTGTCAATTGTATCATACTCCCCTAACTTCCTCTACATCAAATTCTGGGCCTGCGAGTGACGTCACTACCATCAGCCGCTTGTAGTGATGACGTCACCCGCAGACCTCGATGGAATGCTTGCGATTCAGGCTGTGCTAGTGTTAATTTTTTCGTCGATTTTAAATGTAGAAAAGGTGATTTTCGGTCTGTTCTCTCAGAAGAAATTAGGTGTTCTTGATCCTCGAGTATCCCAGAATTTGATGCTGGGGGAGTTAGGGGAGTATGACACAAATGACACATATAATCCAGCAAAAGATTATGCTTGGTTATCCTCGCAAAAAATTGCCTATTGTCTTCCAGACTCAGATAATTTATGGCACTTGTCGGTGGAGTACGGACAGCATCAGTGCAGTGCGGAACTACTATGATGTATTTCTTTTTGTTTAGATAAAAAGTTCCTGAATTTTTATAAATTTTTTTTTCGTTTAACTTGTTTTCTGTCTCATATGTTCTTGGTAAACTTGTTTTTTGATTAAAATTATTTCTATATTTGGTTGTTAAAAACTTCAAAAATATAAATAACTTCCGCACACTCACTTTACAGCCCAACACCATAAGAAAAATACCTAAAAAAAGCATGACTGGGCCCCAAAAAAAAAATTTGCGTCGGGCCCCAAAGGTCCTAGGTCCGCCACTGCGGTTGACCCACCGATAGGCGATAAGCAGTCTATCTTTATCTATTACATAAGAGATCCAATGACAAATTCATAAGGCTCGAAGGAAAAGAATGAGCCTATATTTTGTAATTGTGTGCGCCGAAACTCACGCATTTTCTCGGCCGCGCTCACAAAAACTATAGAACATTTTCTAAAGTTTATTGGCGAAATATTTCGAAAGTTTTTCTTGTCGTGTAAACTAGGAAAAGTTGACTTACGAAATATTTCGGCAACAATTTCGTAAGTAATTTCGTAATGAAACTTTTCGCACGCTGTGCGAAATAATTGATTTTCCAGGTAAGTTAATAATGCGTTTTTAGAGCAGTCGTAGAAAAAAAATTTAGCGTACGGAGGTCAAGAAAAAAAAGAAAAATTCTACATTTTTACGCTTGTAGGAAAAATATTATACCTAACACTTGTTAGGTAAATAGCTATTTCAAGAGGATATTCTATCATCTAGCATCGAAAACAAACAAAAGCTGAACAGAAGCGTTCCACACATAAACCCACAGCCCTCTACACTTACAAGCCATGAAGTTAAAAAGGCAACACCGCAATCTTACCGCCAAGTGGTGCTGTTTTATTTAACCTCAATTCCGCGTATGGTTTATTTACTTTTATTGATGATATGAATTCTTATCTCAGTTACATAAAAAAGTAGTTTTCTTTGAAAAAATATTAGTAGTTAGTAAAATTATTGTAATATTACCAATATTTTGTACATATTAATCACACAAAATGCATCATATTGTACTAAAAAGTAAAAACAGTAATTCAATGAATAATATAAATATTTGTGTAAATAAGAACAGTAAATAATTGATTTAAATAAATATATTACTAGATTCTAAAGTGTTATAATCCTATATCTATTTTATATGTACAAGGTCTTGTCAAACAATTCTATACAACTAGCAACTACCTATCATGTTAAAAAAATAAATACTTTCTAAGAATTCGGGAAAGCTACCCTTAAAACATACCTCTATTATTATTTTTAGTACCTAGGTACATTTTTTTTCTATTTCAAAGTGGTTAGTTTTCTTTTTTTACTTGAATCTGTTTTATTTTTATGACATTCACTATTTTTAAATTTTGTGTAGTTGTTTAAAATAATATTACTCATTATCAAAGAAGCAAAGGAGTAAATTTTTTTTGAGTTAGCACCACATTCACAAATTTTGTTCAAATCAATATTAAAGGTATCGGACTCTAAGGCTAATAAAGTAAGCTGCGATAATAAATTATGATGATCATTTGTTTTCAGGAACATACTTTCAAGATCTTTGTTATTAATTATATACTCGAAGATAGCACAAAGATGAAAATAAATAAACTTGGTTTCTTGAGTGGCAATACAGAGACCCCCTCTCTGCAGAGAATTAAAATATGTATGATCCGTCTGGATGCCTTTTGCTAGAACTACTAAACTTTGACATTTATCACATTTATTATTCTTCAAAACTGATCGAGCCACGTATCCACAGATGTATTCCTGCACAGAGTCATCAAAATTACTGTACAATTTTAAATAATCACTATGCAGAACAAATTTGAAATTGTTAATTTCCTGCAAACTTACACACATAACATCAAAATGTTTCGCACACACTACAGAATTTTTTGTTACCGTATAATTATCTCGGTGAATAGCTTTTAGCCATAATTTCTGTAATTCGGAAGTTTTTGGAAATGAAAATGTTGTTTGCAGTTCCTCAGTCTTCAGGGAACTCCTATAGTTGGATTTGCACCTCGGCACACAGCAGTTTCTTGGCATCTGGAACAAGTTTAAATATCTTAGATAATAATAATATCGAGACCTATACATGTGCTCTTGCACTTTGCAAAGTGGAAACAAATATTATATTGTTTTTATTTGCTTTTACCTTAACTCACCTTAATTTTTGCTCCTGTACCGATTGCAGTATTTGCTATAAATTCACAATCAAAACACAACTAATAATGGCATAACAGGTATGAACCAAATATAAACAGTAAGTAA